TATCTGTTTCCTATTATAGACGAGAAATCACAGAAACATTTGTCGGATGAGGAGACGGCTGTACTCATAGCTCACGGATCGCTAACTGGGACTCAAATAGTGGCCAATAATTACAAACTGGAAACCGATTTAATCGGAGGGTTTGTCGTCGGGGAGAAGACCAGAGTCCAAGAAAGTGTTCTTTAGATTTGCAAATATAAATACATTCAAATAAATCTTATGCCAATAATTTAAATTATCGAGTCAACTAATTTAATATATTTATTTTATTTAATATTTTTTATATTTATTATGCATAAAACTCCAACTTTTATAATCGACTTTAATATTTATAATCAATTTCTAGAATTAAAAATTTTTAGAAATCTTTTCATATGAATGTTATTTATTTCTCAAAAATTTGTGTTTAAATGAGGACAAAATAATGAGATCATAGATAGCTATGAGAGACATTCCCGTATACATATATACCAGTCCTCCCACATATCATATCCAATATAATAAGTTTCGGCAAATATTGATTGATTGTGAGCTCAGTCGTCAAAATTCAAACGCTTTTCGAGAATACAATTGGTCGACAGAAACGAGAGTTTTATTCAAATATACTTTTTCTTAATGATAAACAGCGACAGAATGAAGAAGTCGTAAATCGCGATCAAAGAGATGCCGGTATACATGGATACCAGGCCTCCCACGTAGCAAACCATGTCTAGGATGGCGAACATCGCCGAGTACTTGTGTATCGTGTGTTCTGTAGTCCAGTAGCGGATCGACACGACGGCCGAAGTGTTCATCAGTTTCTCGTCCTCCGAATCCCAGCCCTAAGAATACAGGCGTTATAGACACCGACTCTCATCCATGTCTCGCTTACAGGTCTTCCGTAGTACTCGAACTGCAGCTTCTGAACGGACAGCTCGTAGTGATCGGTCCAACACGAGGGCTGGCATTGCATCGCACACTTGAGGCGCGCCTTCTTGTCCCAACACATGCCGTACAGGTTCTGCGCTGTTAAGGGAACGCCAATCGTAGTCTCTGGACATGAAGTCCGAGGCATACATACCCTCCGCGAACCTCCACTGACACCACGTGAGCGATCGGTTGACGTCGAGGCCGTTGTTGCGGACGTACGGCAGTTCCGGCGGCCAACAACAGCACTGATTGATTGTGAACCGAGACGTACAGCCGGACGCGCATTGCTGTCAACGAGCGAGCGGTCAGTGAATGGGAGTAAAGGCCGACAACAGGACATACCTTTTGCGACAGAGGAATAGACGCGAAATCCTGCGTTTGGTTTAGACGCTGTCCCTCTTCTGCCACGTAATCGAAACAATTGGTTGCGAACGGCTTTCCCAGCATTTGTGTGGACTGGCGTTTAATGTAGAACTGGTAGTAGAAGCCGGGCTGCAGATTATAGCTATTGGACAGGGAGTTCCCGATCTCCGTGTTGTCGTGGATGGCAATGCGTCCACTGATGGGCAGCTCTTGGTTCGTGTATTGCTTCGGCTGAAAGTCGAGTTCGAAGCGAATTATTTCGTTTGTGTCGA